TGTTCATTTTCCAGGACTCTAAAAACAGAAGCCAGATTTAAAACAGGCAAAGTTACCTGGCTCACCTGTCTGTCAGCTGATGTCTGGCTAAGTTTGCTAAAATGGCAAGTGCTTGTTCAGGTTGGAATTCAGGAGGAAGAAGCCACATTCCCTGATTGCCTCAAGAATCTCTTCTCTGACTATGGCTCCCCTATCAGACAGGTTTTCAATTCCATCTTCCCACACAGTTGTCTGATTGCTTTATATTGCCTTGTCTCCTGGCTCAGCATGGCTTCCTGCTGTGCTAATCTATATGCTGTCTCACATAAGCTGTTCGGCTTCTTAGCTTTTGTTTCACTGGTATAACCAACTCCCTCATTAAATCCTAACACATTAAACGTACAACTTAGTTTCTGGTTTCTTTTCTGAATGGATGCCAACTCACGCAAAAAGTTACCTACTTATGAAATTGAAGAAAATCCGAACCCTTCAACCATGAAAGTACTTCTTTCATACATAGCATTTAAAAAAAAAAAACCATCATTTTGGTTCCTAAGAACTCTTGAATCTAAGATAAAAACTACTGAGAAGGTTTCAATTTAGGAAGCAAAATTTTAGAGGTGGATGGTAGGGGTGGTTGCAGAACAAAGCCATGTAACTAACACTATAAGCTTATAAATTACTAGAATGACCAATTTTGTTATGTGTTCCTTACCAAAAACACCGTTATCTACCAACACATCTACTTTAACAGGACACTGGAGAAATTACTAACTGTAGCTATTGGAAGAACTTTCTGATACTACATTTGACTCGAACCTTTAATACAAATATATTAGGAAAAAAGGAATATATAATATTTGAAGCAAGTTTTTTTCTGCTGTAACCTAGTGACAATATTAAGAAGATGGGCCTGGGTTGAAAGACAAGTAGAATCAGCTCCACAGAGCACTTCCTATGGCATATTAGTAAAAGCCAAACTGATGAGCTAGAGGCAGTAAGCGACAGTTTACTGGAGTATCTTGGACTCTCCAGTATTTTGAAAGTTTCCATGAAGGCAATAAATAGAAGGCTGTGGTTAAGCAGGGAGCAGGGAGATGAGTATTGTAAGCTGAAGAACTAGAGGAAAATGAACTAGTAAAGCAACTAAGCAACAAGGCATTTTACAAGGTAATCTATCTTCTAAGTGACAAAGGGCATAGGAAAACGTGAGATAGGGTTCAGAAAAAAAATGTTTTGGTGTTAAAGGGTTAAAAAACAGAAGAGTGAATGCTAAGGGAAGAAAAATTATCTTCTCCCTTATGCCCAGAAACTGGCAGCATTTGGAACATGTCAAAAAACAACGACGACGACGACCAAAAAAAAAAAAAAAAAAAATCACAAGGGGCCAAAAGAGAGGGGCTAAAGATGGTAAGGGGGCACAACAGAAGAATCACAATCAAGCAGTAAACTGCTGACGTAAGTTTACATATGTAAAAGATAACTAAATCACAGAACTGAGAGTAGTGGGAAGATGTTTTATATACCAAGAGTGTCTCATTCTTACAACATGTGGTTAGGACATGAATGCTTCAGGAAGACTTGAAACAGGAGTAAACATGCATTGCAAGTGGAGTACACAGAAAGAAATCACGATTTCAAAACAGAAGGGAAGGAAGGTACCCTGGAATTGATGACACTGAAAAGAAAATCTGAATAATGAAGACGGTTTTAAGGTTGAAAAGCCAAGACTTGAGTTTCTAGCCACCAAGAGAAAAATAGTCCCTAAATAGCTTGATAGGGGGAAGCACAATTACCCCAATTAGAAAAATCTTGTCATTTCCTTAAGGTTTTCTCAACAGGCAGGACTTTCTCCGGGGGATACACTGACAGTATGTAGAGGCATTTCCTCCTTACAGCTGGGGATGATTGTGGAAGGAGGCCCTAAAGGGTATCTGGTTGGAGAGAAATCAGGATTGCTGCTAAACAGCTCATAAAACAGGAACACAGGAAAACCACTACAAATAATTATCCAATTCACAATGTTTATATCACCAAACTCGAGTAACATTTTTTTTTTTTTTTTTTTTGTTTTTGAGACAGGGTTTCTCTGTGTAGCCCCTTACTCTCCTGGAACTCAAATTCACAAAGATCTGCCTACCTCTGCCTTCCAAGTGCTGGGATTAAAGGCATGGGCCACCACGATGGGAAGGCTGAAAAATCTTTTTTAAGACTATGATC